CTCAGATGCGGATTTGCGCGCGCTGATTCGCACTCTGATTCGCGAGGAACTTCAAGCGCAAGGGTTGTCATGTGCACCCGCCCCTCGACCTCACTCTCAATCTGCTGGTCTGCGCGACATCATCAAAAAGGAGCTCTCATCCATGGCTGGCGCTCTCCCATCGAACACTACGGCACCACCAACACCACCCATGACGTATGCGCAAGTCGCTGCCATGCCACCTGCCTTGGTTCAGCACGCGCATCCTGTTCCTGCGCAGTCCAACGTAGCAGCATTTGCACTACACTTGCCTGTCCCAGCGCCAGTACCAGTGCCTGTTACAGCTCCAGCACACTACGCCCCCTGGCGCTCGCCTTGCCCAATATGTTACTATTGTGGCATTCGGGGCCATATTTCAGGATTTTTTTGCAAGCGCCAACAGGACGACCGCAGTGGCTACGATGTTTACGAAAGGGATTCGGAGCCATCCCCGAACCAGTACCAGCGACGCCCTACGGCACGTTCCGTCTCTCCGACTTCTCCACTCGCCGCACCTCGCCCCTGCTATCCCAGACGCCGCCGGTCCCCTTCACCTCTACGACGCTCAACATCTCCTCTGAGACCGGCTGTACCTACTTCTGACTACCACTCGGAAAACTAGCTGGTGCAGTTTTTGGAGGGAAAGCTGCATCGCTCGAACAAACACCAAAACCTCCAGAGGGCCCAGCCAACTTGTTATTAATGTATGCGGAAGGGGTACCAGTTCAGGCATTGGTGGACACGGGGGCTGCTATTTCTGTTATTCATGCGGATTTGTGTACTCGTCTACATAAGGTTACCACACCTTATACTGGCACTCTCTTACGTAGCGCAAATGACTCGCAGATACGGCCATCAGCACAGTGCACCGTTAGAGTTTTCATTGATGGGATCAGGCATCATATTCAGTTTGCCGAGCTGGATTCTTGTGCTTTTATGCTTATTTTAGGATGGGACTTTCTTTCTGATGCTGCTGCTTCCATCTCTTGTCGACGACGACTCATACATATGGGAGAGACGGATGATATTTCCCCGAAATTATCTCGTGACCGGCTACGAACAGCCAATGACTTCCTTGTGCCACCTAACCACGAGCACGTTATCACCGTTATGTTTGACTCCATTGACCACGGTGACGTTCTAGTCAGTCCATCAGCCCGTTGTCTATCCACAGGGATTGCACTTTCATCGAGTCTTGTCCGCTTCTCCAACGGCACCGCATTTCTCGCAGTACTGAATATCACCAATGAGCCAATTCTGCTGACCAAGGGCACTGTTGTAGTTTCCAGTGTGGACACACAACCTATCTCTGTAGTGGCTTCGGACACCAGTCTGGTGTAATCACGTTCAATACCAACAGATGCTCCACCCACTACGGCTCTCGTCAATACCATCAGCACGGATGTCACTCCCCCGCAAGCAGACGAACTACTGGCGTTGTTGTCTAAGCATAAATTTTCTTTCGACGTACATTCCACTGCTCTAAGCCAGACTTCTGCGGTGGCTCATCGCATACACACCGACGGAACTTCTATTGTCCGTCGTCGACCATACCGTGTTTCTTCCAGCGAACGCGAGATCATCGACAAGCACGTTGCTGATATGCTCAAGCAAAACATCATCCACCCCTCTTCAAGCCCTTGGTCGTCACCTGTCGTTCTCTTAAGAAAAAAAGACGGTTCGGTGCGATTCTGCGTTGACTACCGCGCATTAAACAAAGTAACCAGAAAAGACGTATATCCCTTGCCTCGCATTGATGATGCCTTAGATTCCTTACAAGGAGCGGAATATTTTTCGAGCCTTGACTTGCGCTCCGGTTATTGGCAAATTCCAATGCACGAGGATGACAAGGAAAAAACTGCCTTTGCCACACCTGATGGGCTTTACGAATTTAACGTCATGCCTTTCGGCCTCTGCAATGCGCCAGCAACGTTTGAACGACTGATAGACACTGTATTGCGGGGCCTTAAGTGGAAAACATGCTTATGTCACCTTGACGACATCGTCATATTTTCTTCAGCATTCGAACAGCACTTGCAGTGCCTGGATGAAGTTCTGACGTGTCTCGCAGCTGCTGGCCTTCAGCTCAACACCAAGAAGTACCACTTTGCTAGCAAAAGTATTAAAGTACTCGGACATCTCGTCAGCAAAGATGGAATCCGGCCTGATCCCGACAAGATTACCGCCGTTCTTCACTTCCCGGTGCCTCAACGCGTCAAAGAGCTCCGAAGCTTTCTTGGCCTTGCGTCGTACTTCCGGCGCTTTATACGAGACTTCGCCACCATTGCTGCGCAACTTCACCAACTCCTTTCTTTGGGAGCGTCACGCGTATGGTCGGACGAATGCCAAATGGCTTTTGACACCTTGAAACGTGCCCTCACGTTTGAGCCAGTGCTTTGTCATTTCGATAACGCCGCACCCACTCTCCTCCATACTGATGCCAGCGGACACGGACTCGGCGCTGTACTTCTGCAACGAACAGAGCATTGTGACGAACGTGTGATCGCATTCGCAAGTCGCACCCTCACAGCAGCAGAGAAAAACTACACCATCACCGAGCAGGAGTGTCTCGCCGTTGTCTGGGCCATCCAGAAGTTTCGACCATATCTTCACGGCCGCCACTTTACCGTCGTCACTGACCACCACGCTTTGTGCTGGCTGTCGACGTTGAAGAATTTGTCTGGACGTCTCGGTCGCTGGATACTTCGTTTCCAAGAATACGAGTTTGACGTTATCTACAAATCCGGCAAGAAACACAACGATGCCGATGCCCTTAGCCGCTGTCCTTTACAATCCTCATCCGGCACTCCTGGCCTGTCGCCAACTGTGAGTGAACCCATCAAAGTGCCTCCGCCAGTTCATTCACTCGCCGCTGTCGATTTTCTTTCTACCTTCAACAACGACACGTTTGACGTTTGCGTCCCACCAATGCAGCGACACTTACTGTCGCTCTATAATGCAGCGCCTTCAAGGCTCCTCTCGTCCTCCCAATGCTCGCGCCCATCGACAGCTGCAGAACTTCAAGACTGAAAACTCAATCCTTAACCGCTTTGTCTTCCACCCCGAAGGACAGCGCTGGGTTCCTGTTGCTCCTCGTTCCCTAAGGGCGCAGATTTTGGAGGCGTTTCACGATGACCCCAAGGCTGGTCATCTCGGTTTTCGAAAAACCTATGAACGCATCCGCAGTCGTTTTGCCTGGCCTGGCCTTTCTAACTGCGTAGCGCGATATGATGTGTCATGCTCGCTATGCCAACGCCGCAAGCGACCCACTTCCTCCCCGGTCGGTCTCCTACAACCTCTTCCGCGTCCTGACGCTCCCTTCGATGTCATTGGCATTGACCTCTACGGACCGCTACCAATATCTGCTAGCGGCATGCGCTGGATTGTCACAGCAGTTGACCACTTAACAAGGTACGCCGAAACAGCTGCACTTCCTTCAGGATCAGCAGAGGACATTGCCACATTTTTTCTGGAGGCAATCTTTCTAAGACATGGTGCACCACGCATCTTATTGAGCGATCGCTGCAAGGCGTTTCTTTCGAAACTACTCGAACAAGTCCTCCACGCATGTAATACGATTTATAAGACGACATCCAGCTACCATCCCCAGACTAACGGCCTCACAGAGCGCTTCCATCGAACTTTGACCGACATGATATCTATGTATATCAACGCCGACCACACCAACTGGGATACCATCCTGCCATTCGTGACTTTTGCGTACAATACCGCTACGCAGCGCACCATGGGCTATTCCCCATTCTTTCTCGTCTATGGCCGTCAACCAACATCTCCGCTCGACATTTTTTTGACGTCCCTGTGAACTCGTCATCGAGGGAGCACTTAATTAACCTCTCGCCTGGCCGATTGTCGCCGACGCGCCCACCTCAATACACAGGCAAGCCAACAAGAGCGGAAGACTCGCTACGATGGCGTCCACCGCGTAGTTCACTTCAATACTGGAGACGAAGTACTGTTGCGGACCCCAACGCGGGTTCCTGGCCTGTGTGATAAGTTTCACTCACGTTTCATCGGCCCCTACGCTATAGTCGAGCAGACGTCTCCTGTTAACTATCGAGTGACCCCTGTTGTCATGCCTCCCGACGGCCGTTTTCGTGGTACGGAGGTTGTTCACGTGTCGCGCTTAAAACCATTCGTGCGCCTATACCACCGTCATAAACAGCGGCCTAATTGGCCGCTTCCGCGCGAGGGGGAAATTAGTGTAAGCACAATATTGACAACGTTTGACCTTCATCTTCTTCATCTGTATATAATCACCATCACAAAAAACGTCGTCTTCGTTCAAAGGGTTGATCAGGCGATTCGGCCTAATAAACGCCGTCGAGACTCCAACGCTGCTACTGTCTTACAATATCTTAATTTGGTTTTAAAGCAAGCGTGAGTGCTCATCTGAGTTAGCAGCACGTCGCCACGTTGCCACTGGTATGCTGCAGATCGAGGCCCAGTGTGACGTTCCATGAGTAAATCGAGCGTTGTCGACGTCACAGAAGACTTGTGGGGTGCACATATTGTCATGATTGATACCCCACACCGGCTATCATTCTCCAGCTCTCTCGCTCTGTTGTCCGGCTGCTCTCTAGGTAGCTGCTCAGGCCAGGAATGTTTGTGTTTTTTCTGAGGGCACACATGCCTAACCGGCTTAACTATTCTGAAGAACACACATCGCTTCAATACTTACCGTGTGGGGCCCAGAAGAAAAAACTGTGTCTTCCAGCATAATCAAAATCTCTACGGTTAGTGCAAGTGGCCTTGCTATACATGGGCTGCATTAGAGCATTTATGGTTTAAGTTCGGGATTACCAGACACAAAGCTACAAATTACAGTTAAAAAGTCACAAACAAAAACTTCGCTGTTAGGGGTTCTTTAATGCTAACATGATGAAAAGGTCACCCCTCTTTTCTGGATTTAGTTAAGATGAAAGTACACAAGACCACGCAATGCCATGTTGTACTTGACTTACGAGAGGAAGCACAGTCTCAGGGCTGCTTGGTTCCACCTTGATGTCAACACTCTCCGTGACCTGAAAGAATTATTTTGTTTTTAATGAAGCTTTTAGCCGCTAATCTGCTCTACTTGGTTGGTATAGCTAACAAACTTTGGGTTGATCTCACACTTACTGCAAAGTAGCACACACGAGAACATCAGCTTGTAACTGCTCCAAGTTAGATTGCAGAGCATTATAACTTCTAATTGCACAACTTTACGCTACACATCACTTACAAGAGATAGCAGTGGTGGAGGGCTGTTTGGCATCGTGAACTCCTGCTTGACATCGGCACAGGTCACGTCCTGAGAGAGAGAGGGGGGGGAGATTATTAAAGCAGAGTTAGCCATGAAGCATGGTGCCCGTGCAACCGACACAGCTCAATACACGGGCAGCAAGCATTTGGCCTCCATCAAAATTTGACAGCCATGGCCAGGATCAAACCCGCGACTGTTGATTCGGTAGTCGAGCACGCATCGCAATCGCGGCGTACACGCTGTACCACCGAGGTGGAGACGTTGCCCTAAAGAAGCAGCTTTATGTGCTTTTTCCTTTGGTCAAGCTGGTGTCAGCGGGCAGCGCATAGTTTACGGCCCTGGCTCTAGTACTTATAGTCAACCATAGCTACCTTACATAACATAAATTACGGGGCGCTGTCAACAAAATCGCTTGGCAAGGTAGGGAATTATCAAGCACTTATATATAGCAAACTTCCCATAGGATCTGTCTACTCTCAACCCATTTTCATTCCCCTGTTACCTCTGTGTATGGAGCGTTTCGAGCCATGGAACCGTCAGGACAGTGATATGTAGCCATGGTTTCGAGCGCACGATAACATGAGCACGTCTCGTCGTCAGTCGTCTTCTGACCTAACACCCCCAAAGTTGTAACACCTATTTAGCTTGTATTTACTACCACTTGGAGAAGGGAAACTGTACCTTCGACAATGCAACAAAAATTAAGGTAACGGTGGCGTTGTGAACTAGTAAGTAAGTAAGTAAGTAAGTAAGTAGGTGCTCCTAATCCCTTTTGGCACAGGGCAGGCGCCAGCAGCGCCTGCCCTGTGCAACTAATTTATTTGACCAAGAGATGACGCTGCCAAAACTATCATCATCATTGCGCTGGGGCGTTTTAACAGTTGCAGAAAATGGCTAATCTTTTCTTTCTCCATGCTAATATCTATGGATTTCAATAATTTTTCTCTTTAAAAACTGTCAGAATTGAGCGTTTTTATATATTAAGTCTCGGCTTATTAACTTGGACTTCCATATATAGAAGGGCAATTCTACATAGATTGAAATAATTTTAAGTTTATTCATCAATGGAAGAAATAGGATGCCCGACACAATATAAGTAAACGAGTATGCTTAACAAGATAATCATCTTTGCCATTCTAAAATATATCAATTGTTCCCAATTTTCCCCGCTATAGTGGGAACAATATGCACATCAATACAGTGCTCCAAGTAATCCATTTATGGAAGCACGTCAATATAGCAGCTTTGACTGTGTCTTCACAAAGCAGTTGCTTGCACTGTTTTGCACTTTTACTTTCTCATAAAAATATTTCTTTTTTTGCCCATTTTTGGAGGGAGTTTGTGCCAAGGGTCTATGGCGTATGAGATTGGGGTGTCCTAGTGAGACTGAGTCACATTCAAATATATACTGGATCAGTTTTGTAGATGCCAACTGATCAATGTATCTGGAAAGTCAAGGTACTTCTGGGTTGTTTTTCGGGCGTTCTTGAAAGATTTGTGGGGTTTAACGTCCCAAAGCTACCATATGATTATGAGAGACGCCGTAGTGGAGGGCTCCGGAAATTTCGATTACCTGGGGTTCTTTACCGTGCACCCAAATTTGAGTACACGGGCCTACAACATTTCCGCCTCTATCGAAAATGCAGCCACCGCAGCCGGGATTCGAACCCGCGACCTGCGGGTCAGCAGCCGAGTACCTTAGCCACTAGACCACCGCGGCGGGGCATTCTTGAAAGAGAATGAAGCTGTTCACACACAGCATGTCAACACAGTTAACAAAACAAAGAAGTTTTTATTCATTTATTTACATATTTATGTTTACCTAATGCCGCCTCAATGAGGCTATTGCAGGAGTAGAAAAAGAACAACAATAACAAGTCAACATTCATGCACAGGCTTCCGAAAATTCTTGAAGTGGTAGAGAACAAACACTTCCGGGCAACCAACTCTAGGCTTCTATAGTTTAAGGGAAAAAGATGTATTTGAACATGTCAGTGTGGTGCATGAAAAAAATTGCAGTGTTAAGGGCATGGTCACTCGTCATAGATAATCTGGAAAATTTCAGATACGATTCTTGTAGTATCATGTGCCGGACGTGACGCACGAGAACACAAAGCACGGCGCTGAAGCACCGGCCAACAAGCAGTATGCAGCAGCCGGTAGCCAAGCAGGAACTCCCTCTATATACACAAGCATCACTATATATACATATGTACAATGTCCCATAGGGGCCAGCCAACCGATTCCAAAACCGGAACAGAAACCCAGACACCACATCACCACCCCCTTGAATTGAAGAACACTCGGGGTCCTACCAGCTAACACATTACCTAATGATAGTGAACATGTACACAGCATGCATACCCAAAATACAACAGTATACAGACAAAGACAAATACACAATGAAATAAAAATGTACGGTATACACAAACAAGTAAGGAAGCGCACAACATAACACGTAAAGAATTGCACAGCAAACACAGAAAAGCAAGGCACACCAGCCTATCATCCCCTCCCCCAAGAGAGAATGTCTGCACAGTCATTGTAGTGTTTGAGTCTACAGTGTCGACGCTTGTAGTCGTGCAATTTCCACGACAGGCACTGTCGCCCCCCACAGCAGTCCGGTGGTACGTAAGAATCGGCCATCTGCTGTCCTTCCAGTGTTCTTCTGGCACAGTAGGGGCCGGAACAAGCATAAAACGATGCTCCGACGGGACACGGCTCGATGCCACCAATGCAGGCGCGATGCACAGAACAGGAACCGGCATGGCCGGCGTAGACGCGACCAGTGGTAGCACCTCCTCAGCACACAGAACTGGGACCACTTACTGAATCTCGGCTGGCATGCTTGGTGGATGAACCTCCGGCAGATCGAGAACAGACACAGCATCCCGGAGGCCACCACAAGCGAAAAGACGCACAGCCGGGGCGGAATCAGCAGCAGGCAAGACGGGAGCAGCAGGCACAACCGACGTATGGTGAGCTGGGACGCAAGCAAGTACAGTCCGGGTATGCTCAACCGCAGGAAACACGACAGGAGCAGGCACAGCAGGAGCACGGCCAGCCGAGACGCCGACAGGTGCAGCACAAGTGAACACGCTCACAGTCTGGGCCGGAATCGTCGTAGTTTGTGAAGTCGAAGTATGGCCCGGTAGAATTTGCAAGATTTCCGCAAAACTTGGAGGGGCCGGTGGCACAGCAGGGTTGGAAGCGTAACTACAGTGTACTAGAAGTATTGGATAGTGAAAAGAGCGGAGGGCGGCGGCCATAGGGTTCGTGAAGCCAAGAGCTAAAACTCCTGCTAGGGGCGCTGGTGTGCTCTTCCCGAGGAGACCATGCCGGCTGCAAGCGTTTGCATGCTTTAACGCGTGGCGTTGCGATGGGTCAGTGTGTTTTTTGCAAGTGAATCTGTGACTCTCTCTGTGTTCGATGCTGTGCTAATGTCACTTCTAGGGAAATGGAAATGAAGAAGAAAAAAACAGGTACGCATTGCTATGCACCCGGATGCAAGAGCCAGGTATCCTGGTTTTCGAGAAGCAAACGGGCGCATGCTGTCTCTTTTTGGGGTGCCTAAGGACTATGAACGGCGGAAGCAAATGGGACAGAAACCTTCGCCGCAAAGATAAGGCACTTACCGAGACTTCAGCTGTGTGTGAGAGGCACTTTGAGGAGCGTTTTATTTTGCGCAACTATGTGCACGTCGTCAATGGTCAGGAAGTAAGGATTCCTCGAGGTAAGCCAGCGCTGATCGACGACGCGGTTCTACTCTCCTGCCCGATTTGCCAGCCTACCTCTCAAAGGAGACGCGTCAGCGAAGACCAGAGAGAAAACACGTTGCTGTGTGCCCAGCTACGTGCACAAAGAAGCTGCGTTTGTCTCAACGCGATGTTCTTTATACATCATCCCCAGATGTGGGTGCGGATGGCGACGACAGCCTGGATGGGATGGTGCCCCGGCATGATTTTCATATGATTGTGAACACTGTGAGTGTCCCGAACGGGTAGGGGCGACTTGATGCTCTGGACTTTGATGGGGTTGTGTTTGCCACGACAAGTGTAAAAAAAAAAACCATTTGCTTTTCTTCACGAAAGAGTGCTGATGTTTGCAACGGACTGCGCAGACATAGTTACCGCCCGCCTATACTTTCGTGGAAAAGAGAGGAAGGACGTTCCAATCAGATCGGTAAAGGAAGCGGCGGAGATTTTTAGGTACTCCGATAGTGCTATTCTCTGCAAGGGTGCCATGGGCCAAGCAGAGTTTGACAACAACTACAGCAAGGATATCACATGCCACCTCAAGCACTATGTAGACATTGTATATGGCATTGTGCTCAGCAGATCTTGCTCAGGAATAGTAAGCAAAGAAGGTAAGCACTCAGCTTGTTCTGCGACACTGAGCTATTAATTTTTTTTCATGTGGAAAAAAGCACCCTTTAAGACGTGAAAAAAAAAAAAAAAATGAGCTTCGCTTGTACATTGCAGTGTAATATCATGTCATTTCATGCGTCTTCGAGGCTCATAAGTTTCAGCAAACCAGATGAATACCATATCTTGTCATCCTGCTTATCCAAGTGAAAACTAAACGTGCAATTGAAAAATGTTGCCACGCACTTACAAGAAACTCTCCATTTGGATTCACCCTATGTCATGTGTTATTACAAATTAATAAAGGTGCCAGAAGGCAATAACAGAAAAGCACAAGTAAAATAGGGAATTGGCTGTGTGAATAATGTTGGACCGCTACAAAAAAAATAAAAAAATTTGCCTTGTGCTGTTCGCTGATTTGTTCAATAATTTCTTACATATTGTAACAAGTGTTGCATAAATATGGCTCCAAATATGAAAATGAAAGCCTAACTTTTTTTGCTTTAGGTGCCGTCTGTGTAGCATGCCGCTACCTAAGGAAGAGCCTACAATCAAGAAAGTCCTGGTTCAAGACAAGAAAGCCTGTGAAGAGGAACATTACTAAGCACCTGAAGCTGGCTCGGCAAAGGACAAAGCGCTTGGCCTCACGTGCTAGCACACTGCAACAAATGGTTTCCGCAATGAAAAATGCAAATTCGAGAATCACTGAAGACGCCCTCAAGAGCAAACTTGAAACATTGCCATCAAAACAAAAAGAGGCCGCTATGCATATGTTTGCAGCAGCTAAACGTAAAGGCATGCGGGGAATGGCATACAGCAAGAGCTGGATCCTCGAGTGTGTCATTATGAAAATGAAAGGCCTGAAACTATATGTGCAAGCAAAATATTCTTACACTCCCTGCAAAATCAACGCTGAGCAATTACTTGAAGTCTTATAGAACCGGATTTGGCTTTAATCCCAAAATCTTTAAAGTCATTAAGGAAAAAACAAGCACGATAAATCATTTCAAAAGACATGGAGGGCTGCTAATAGATGAAATGACACTGTCAGAAAACCTAGCTGTTACTTCCGATGCACTCATTGAAGGATTCGTTGATCTGGGCTCCTTCACACCTAAGACTGACAAACACACTGTGTGTGACACCATGGAATGGTCATTTGTTTCGTACCGTTTGTTAGGAAGTGGACGCAGATTCTAGCCGTATTCGCCACTCATGGTAACGTGAAAGGAGACCTGCTAGCAAAAATTATGACAGAAGCAGTTATCCTTGCAGAAAATGCGGGATTATTTGTTGACTTCATTACTAGTGACGGCGCATCTTGGAACAGGAAGATGTGGTC